GGAAAAAAGACTTGGTTCTGAGATATGCAAGTGTCGAGAATTCTCCAAAACGACGACATGAATACACGGGCGTCTGGTAGAAGGAAATACACACAAGGACATGGCCCGGTGACGCATTTCACCGACATTACCTCCAAAGATTAGCTTTGGGATGCCTCGCTGAACAGTTAGCAAAGGTGTGGGCTGCAATTACCTCGCGGAGGTTAGGATATAGTTTAAACTCGAATGCAGGCTCAAGAGCAGACTGTATGGTCACTGGAGAAAGCGTCTGTCAAACAAGACATTCGTTTTGATAGAGAAAGGGATTTTTTCCTTGTGGGCTTATTTTCTTAATGAAATAGCATAAACGCACAGATTAGGTTGACAGTCCAATACTGGCATTGCAATTTCTGAATTTCATTCGGCTTCTGGCCAACAGGTCAAAAGGATCTAGTCAATGTAGACGGCAATTGTTCGACCTTAAATTTTATTTTAAAATCTAACCTTCAATCAGGCCTTCTCCCGTTTTTAATAAGTTATTTGTGCTTCCTTCACGTACCGAATATGTCTTTTTAAATAACTGTTATTTTTGCGAACTTTGTGCGTAAAACTGCACGCCAAAAATCGAACTCTCTTGGTCTAAGTGTTCCATCTACTTTCAACTTTAAGAAATTCCACGCGACCAAGATGGGCGACATATGTGCAGATATTATTACATAAACTCTCTTCTAGTCCTGAGGCCTAAACATACGTTATTATGCACTGTAGACTGGACTCACGACAAAAAGTAAAAAAAAAACTTTAAAAGCCCTTTGCGTAATTGATAGTATGAGAGAGCACATACCCAAAACTTGCACAACATTACGTGACTAGATATATTAAGCAAAATAAAGCAATAAACTGGCGTCTGCAGTGAGGTACGGGGCACTTTCCATTCTAAAGCAATTAAGACAATTACTAGATGGTCCAAGGCTTTTTTAGATAAAATCAGTCGTATGGCGCTCTAATGCAGTCCCTTGGCAATAGTTCGGTTTCATGTTTGCTCTGTCAGCACAAAAAGCTATAGTAAAAATTTGCAGACAATATTTTGTCAAATCTTCCATGCTTCGATAATCATAATTGTCTCCCGGATATCTGCTTAACAGACCTGTATATTCTGCTCAGATGTATATCAGGAACTCATAACTTAAAAACAAATCTTTATAAGGATGACCTTTGCGAGTGTCATGAGAGCGAGAATCAATAATTCGGAATTCTACAGTTAAACTTGTACATTGTTTTTTTTGACGCACTCGTAATGATAAATTCAGATGGAACTTCAAGAAAGCGCGGCAATAACTTATGAATTATGTTAAATATTTTACAAGGTGAAAAATCAGGCATGTAAGTTGTTTGTGTGCATTGTGATAGAAGCGTTTTAAAACTCTTAAAAGTAAATTCGCATTTTTTGCTTGCATCCTTTTCCCGTCACTGCCTGAAAGGCATTAGTAACATACATCAACTAAAGTCATTTAAGAATCCAAATCTGCTTCACAATACCAGCCGAAATACCGCTTTTGAAATTTCAACCGATCATGGGACTCGGATTACTCCGCCACGACGTTCATTGGGAATTTCATGCCAAATGTCATATTTGGCGTCTGCCTTTTATTAAGGATAAAATCCCAACGGTCAAAATGTATGGTCATCATTCAGGATAGGTCCTGTGATCGGCATTGCGATTATTCTCATTGTTTTTCTTATAAAATTATATAATATTGCGATCACGTAGTTATCGGCATAATTTTAAGGCAAACCGCACTATGTTTGTTCTATTGTAACGGCAGTTTGCTCTTCTTTTTCAATGTGTTTTAAAAAACGATGGAGATTCGTGTACTTCTGTGCAAAATCTCCGTTGAAATGTCTTCGGTTTGGAAACGAAACTTTAGAGTAATATAATACAGATTGTGTAAGAAAAGAAAACAAATGCAGCACTTCGTTAAAACATATCTCCTATCGACATTTTGGTATTTGGGGGAGAATGACAGACCAATTTATCGAGTAGCATATTCAGAATTTAAAGGGCGCACCCGACTATTTTGATTTCATCCACAGCCCATAAGCTGTCTATATTTCTGGCTTCGTCAAGGCCAGCAATTTCATTACCTTTTCGTTCAGTGTTTGCTGAAAAGTAGATATACAGTCTCTTCCATAACGAGAGGCTTGACTGGTTTTAAAATAAAATCCCCACTTTTGCGTAGACTGATTCCATTCTTCTTGAGAGAAGCTAGGGAGTGAAAAATGCTATACCACAAAATGGGCTAATAAGACACCGAGTGGCAATAATGGTCAGGGATGGATTGTCTCAAAAACTACAAGGTCCCTCATAGTTAAGCGGCACTGTTTGAATGTAGATAAATAAATTTCGTATATTTCTCAAATAATACCGTAGAATACACGGAGTGGCGTAAAATTTACCTGTGATGGTGTGGAAAATCGGGCACATAATGTACGCAAGATAGAAATTTAAACATACGGGAAATGACAAAAATGACACAGTTTAAGGCCGGTTCAAGTTCACCCGAAAAAATGCTACAAGCATATCTTTTATAGTTACACTTTCCAAAATGGAACAGTTTTCCACCCCATCCGGTTGCATCCACTCCGATACGTCCAGGAGAAACAAGGAGACTACACGAGCAGAAGGATGGCAGAAGTTGAGGAGCGTAGACGTATGCGGTAAAAAAAACCCGAAGACCATACTTCAGACTGCACGACGGTGCCAACACCATGGGACAGCCATGGTCTGCGGCATGAAATACGCAGGGGGCGCTGTGCACTGCGGTTTGTTGGGAATCAGTCATGCGGTCATTTGTGATCAACAGTCCACAAGTGGGACATATTAAAGAACTTAACGAACGTACTAAATTTACGAACGAAAAGTAATGATACCGCTCATAAGTTCGCTTGCACGCAGGTATCGAATCAATAGGGACCTGCATAGGTTTGAAATAAGAAGCGCCTTTCCACGCAGCATAATCATTATGCGTAGTCCTGCAGCACTGTCACTTGGTGAGACGGTTTCACCAGGTGTTAAACGAAAAGTGCTTAGCAAAACCCTGAGGCTTTGAAAAACTGGCGGTGATTTGATCATCCTCAAGCCACCGAAGATGCTCCAAGGTGGAGATAGCGGAAGTATCCGCAAGATGGTAAAATGCTGCCAAAAACAAGGGCCCATGATGTAATGACGTCACATTCTGTAATAACTACGAAAAGCACAAGTGATGAAGAGAAATTCAGACCATTGTCTCAATTGCAGTTGCTATGAACATACCAATTGTAGCGTTAATCGCGTTTTGCTCAGAAATGCGCTGAAAATGCAATATGTGGACTTATTTCTCGAAAATAACTGCATCAATGGGTTAGTATTTATTCACTTAAACTGACGGAAGCATATTTACATTGCATATGCACAAACTAAATGATGTAGATCTCTCCCTTCATGAACTTTTCAAAACTGAAGGGTTTATTGCCTAACAGGGTGAAGCCTATAGAAGC